CAAAACCCCACATTCTCCTCCTCGGTGTAATTTCCAGTCATTTCCCGACAACATTTGGTTCTTATTACGCGCGATCCTCACCCAGATGGAGCATTAAAGCCTCGGCCTCCCCGGAGAGAGAAAACAAGCTCCTCTGAGGGACTGCAGCCGCTCAGACCGTTACGATTCCAAGAAAAGGCTGCGGGCCGCTCCCCCTGAGCCGGGCCCAGTGCGTTTCTGGGGGGAGGGGAGCCAGCCACTTGGTGCGTTTCATCAGAACTTGTCATCAGAACGGTCCGGGGCCTTCTGGTGGCGAAAGCCTTAGGGACAAAGACCCGGGCATCCCTCCCACCGTCCCAGACCCCACGCCCAGCCAGGCACACAGATGGTGCTCACCCCGGGTTTGTGGACTGAAAAAAAAAAACAGCTGAAGGTCACGGAGCGAGAATAACGGTGGGTTTTCTCGTTTGACATTTCCTTCCAAAGGTCCAGGGCTTATTGCAGGGGAAGGCGCTTCTCCGAGGCAGAACTGCTGCTCTGAGCTGCGAGGGGCAGAGCGCGCTACCCTCCCCTGGGCCAGGGTCCACACTAGTGGCTTGGCGCCCTCTCAGAGAACATTGGGGTGCAGTGCTCTCCCCTCGGGAGTCCTGGGTGGCCCGAAGGGGCATTTTTTGCACATTAATAGCTGACATCTAGGAAGATCATCTTCTATGCCAAGCACTTCAACAAATTATCTCATTTAACTCTCATAATTCTGGGATGAGAATGTACTTATTACCCCGATCATAGACGTGGAAATGCGGCTTCAGGAAACGCGGGTCATTCTCCCCAGGGGTTCACAGCTAGTGACAGGCAGAGCCCCGGAAAGTGACCATGCCCGCTTACCCACCATCCCTGAGTCCTGCGAGCCGAGGTGGGCCAGGGGTGGGTGGGGTGAGCCCTTACCTGTATGCACCCACTCCTTTCGGTAACCCTGAGGGGCAGGTCAGGGTCATGATCCCACTTACAGCCAGGACACTGAGCCTCATAGGCGGAGAGCCCTGTCTGAAGCCCTGGGTGTGAGAGGGTGCAAGCCCTCCCCTCGTCCTCCCCGGGCCCTTCTCTTCCCTCTGCAGCCCTGGCCCCCACCGGGTATGAGGACCACGCAGGGTGGACAGACAGCAGGTCTCCATCGGGTCCCCACAGTCCAGCCCTGGGAGCCTCCCGGGCCCTCCCCGACCTTGACCTTGGGGAGTTCGTGGCTGTGCCCCTGGCATGGCTGGGGGGCGGGGGGACCTGGAGAGGAGGCAGAGAGACGGCACCACGTGCAGCTCATTCCACTGCAGGAAGCCCGATCCCAACACCGATGCTCCTGCATCTCCCACGCAGCTCCTGTGAGCGGCCCCCAAGGAATCGACAGGGATCCCATCCTGCCCCGCTCCCGGCTGGCTGGCCTGGAGGGTCCAGTAAAGGCCCAGGAGGCCTGGACTGACATGGCCCAGGGCACTTTCCCTGGCAGCTCCTCCGTCATCACAAGAACGGTCCCGGAGGACTTGGCCCCCTTGTAGGTCCCGGGAAACTGGGCCCCTTGCAGTCTGGATGCCCTGGGTCCCTCTGAACCAGGTGGACCAGCTCCGGCTGCGGCCCCAGCTCCTGGGAAAGGTAGTTCTGTTGTCTGCGTCTCAGGTCCTCACATGGGGAGTGAGATGGGCAACACCACATTACAGAGCCCTGGGGGTTAGTCACATACGCATCCGCTGAGTCCGGTTGTGCTGGGCTCAGTGAGCCGTGGTCGCTGGGGGTCACCCCCTTTCACTAACCCTCACCCGAGGGCATGTTTCCATCGACATTTAGGGAGAGTGGAAGAGAGAGGGAAAGACAGAGAGAAACATCGATGTGAGAGGGACACAAGCCACTCACAACAGTGACGGCGAACCTATGACACGCGTGTCAGAGGTGACATGCGACCTCATTTTTTTGGTTGATTTTTCTTTGTTAAATGGCATTTAAATATATAAAATAAATATCAAAAATATGTCTTTGTTTTACTATGGTTGCAGTTATCAAAAAACTTCTATAGGTGACACAGCACCAGAGTTAAGTTAGGGTTTTTCAAAATGCTGACACGCCGAGCGCAGAAGGTTCCCATCACTGACTTACAAGCTGAGCAAGCCAAGGACAGCGTGACCTTGAGTGAGAGACGCACTGGCGGCCGCTGGGGCCCGGCCTGTCTCAGGAAGGCCCACTGGCGGCCAGTCCCGTCCCCGGGCCAGTGGGGCTCAGCTGGGCAGCAGGCAGCAAAGGTGCGTTTGTTGAGCCCCAGGGCCCCCTGGGAACTTGGAGTGATCCGTCCGTTGGCGGGGAGGCCCGGCCAGGCCTTCTCCAAGGGCTTTGGGCGGGTCCGGCCCCTCAGTGGTGGGTGGCGGTGGGGCCTCTCTGGCACTGTTAGAGCAGACGCGGGTGGAAAGCTTCCCCGATGGCCAGGCAAAAAGACCCACCGAATGGCGGCGTTCCAGCTGCCCGCGTGCCCATCGTGCCCTCCTCTGGGGCCGTGGCCAGTGCTCAGGTCGGCTCTCCTGCATTTGGCAAAAGATAAAGAACGGGCCCACCAGGCACAGGACGGTGACACGGGCCGTGCAGCTCTGGGCAGAGGGGTGGCGAGGTTTCAGAGAGGGGGCAGCATGAGCCTGGGGACGGGTGGACAGGGCTGGGGCAGGCCTGGGGCAGGCCTGGGCCTCTGTGGGTGGGGTGAGCCCAGGGGCGGTACCCCCCCCCACCACCGCTTCTCCCTCACCCTCACTCGGCTTCCTCCAGCGTCTCTCACCCTGTCTTTCAGGA